TTTGTCATTGATTTTTGTTGTTTTGTTCTCTTGTTGCTTTGTTTTGCTCTGGCTAGTTTTTGTGCATATTATTATCTCTGCAGGTCTGTCTAGATAAGATAGGAGGGATAAACAATCTGGAGGAGAAAATAACAGGATCAATGGTTCCAGGGGGACATGGGAGAAGGGGAGGGGGGGGTGGGGTGGATGGTGGTGGTGGAAAGAAAGTGGGTGTTAACAAACCCAAGGACAAGGGAACAGCAAGTGATCCAAAAATCAATGGTGAGGAGGGTGTAGGAGGCCTGGTGGGACTTGATCAAGGGCAATGTAACTGACAGGAATTACTGAAACCCAAATGAAGGCTGAACATGAAGCGACAAGAGGAAAGTAAAAGGAAATAGAGGAAAGAACTAGGAGGCAAAGGACATTTGTAGAGGTCTAAATACAGGCATGTACATTCGTAACTTTATATGACAATGAGGAAATAGATATATGTGCATATATTTGTAAGTTTAATATTAAGGTAGCAGATGGCCATTGGGCCACCTCTCAAGTAGTCCCTCAATGCAAGAACATTTTGTTCTATCAAATTGGCATTCCATGATATTCACCTTCCCGACATGATCGCTGAAGACAAATCGGGTGCTTACGCAAATGTGAAGAAAGCTGATGGTGCCCGGCTTATCAAAAGATACAGCATCTGGGGTCTTAAAGGCTTGAAGATAAACAAGCAGCCATTTAGCTGAGAAGCAACAAAGGCCCAATGGAAGAAGCACACCAGCCTGTGTGATCAAGAGGTGTCAAAGGGATTGTTAGATCTCTCTGGAGCTAGATCTATACCTCGGTCCTTGGCTCCACGGGAGAAAGAATTCACGCCGAAGCCTGGTTCATGATCCAAGTGAGTTTTATCAGAGTTAGAAAAAGTTTCAGGTTTACACGGCACCGGCACCAGAGGGGCTCCTCCCGAACATGCGGCCTGGTTGGAAGCTGCTCAGCATCACGTAAAAGTGTCCCAAAGTCCTGCCAAAGCCCTCTGCATCAAAGTCCTCTCTCTCCCCCGCTGGACTCCGGGCTTCCGCCTTTTCAAAGATTCCACAGGGAGGCGTGGTGGACGACCCCTGATCGACTTCATTGGCTGAATTGAATTCACCTGGTCTAGGTGGGCCAATTCAGGCTCACGCCCATCCATGCCTACCACAGGAAACCTGAGCCTCTGGGCATGTGCAGTGCGCCACTCCTTTGTCCCCTAGCTTGGCCCTCTGGGCATGCGTTAACGGACATTCCCAGCCCTTTGCTAACCTACCTAACAGGATCAGGTATCAGTCATCAAAGAGCAAAAAAATCATCTAATTGTGAATGAGGGGAAGTGCGGAGTGTAACCTAACCCCAATGGCTATCTGTAGGCAACTGGACACCCCCTTACTGAAGGGTCGTGGGGAGGAGACGAGCCAGTCAGGGTGCAGTATACTGTAGCAGCAATGAAACATACAACTTTCCTCTAGTTCTTAAATGCTTCCTCTCCCCACTATCGTGATCCCAATTCTACCTTACAAATCTGGCTAGACGAGGGGATGTACACTGGTACAGTTAAGATCTGGAAACACAGGGAATCCAGGACAGATAAATCCCTCAGGACCAATAATGAGAGTAGCAATACCAGGAGGGGAAGGGGAAGGTGGGGGAGAAAGGGGGAACCAATCACAATGATCTACATACAACCCCCTCCCTGGGGGATGGACAACAGAAAAGTGGGTGCAGGGAGGCGTCGGACAGTGTGAGACAAGAAAAAATAATTTATAAATTATCAAGGGTTTGTGGGGGAGGGAGGGGAAAAATGAGCTGATATCAAGGGCTCAAGTAGAAAGAAAATGCTTTGAAAAGGATGATGGCAACATATGTACTAATGTACTTGACACAGTGGATGAATACGTGGATTGTGATAAGGGCTGTAAAAGCCCCCAATAAAAGTATTTAATAAATAAAAAAGAAAAATGAACA